TGTGGGGTGTGCCGGGGGTGTCGCGTGCCCGCCGGGACCCCCCGGCGTGGCGGCCACTCTCTGTGCCAGCGCTGCCCCACGTCCTACGCCTGCCGGCCCAGGGTGCTGGGAAGAAAGGGCCCTTTCTCTGCCCCATTTTAAAGCCGACTCTCGTGGCTCCTCCTCCCGAGGAGGGTGGGCATCTGCATGACGGTGGCACCATGGCAGCGAGTGGGGCCACTGCCAAAGCCGGGGCTGCCAGACCTCCAGGATGGCCCTGGTGGACGTGACTGCTTGGGGTCACCATGTGCCCAGGAGTCATAAATGCCCTGGGAGGGTCCATGCATCCCCGGGGTCATGCACCGTGGGGGGCTGTGTGCCATAGGGGTCCTCTGTGCCCTGGGGGGACGAGGCACCTCGAGTCTCCATGTGTCCTGGGGTCCTACGTATGCTGGAGGCACTCTGAGGGACTGTGTGACTTGAGGGGTCCCATGTGCCCTGCAGGCCTGTATGTCCTACAGGGGTTCATGTGCCCTGGGGGTCATCAATACACCCTGGGGTGTCCACACACCCTGGGGACCCCCATGGGACCCTGCCCACTGCAGGAACCAAGCTGCCCCACACATTAGGATTGGGAGGGATCCCAGCTCCAGAGCCCCGGGGAAGGTGTTTCGCCATGGGGCAGGCGTGGGATCCGATATGAATCATCAAAGACATGATTAAATGGGACACTGCAGAGCCTGGTGCCACAGGGATCCCAGGCAGGCGGGGGGGGACACAGACCCCATCTGACCATCATGTGCCTTGGGTCCGTGTTGATGCCTGGAGCTGCTCGGCTGCCAAAGAGTCATTCACAGCTCCATGAAAGGCTGATCCCACGGTTATCCACTTCCGTTGGGAAGCCCTTCCCTCCAGCATGGATGAAAATGGTTCAGCTGGATACACTGGGAATGGGGTCCTGTGCTGCCACAGTGCCAAGCTACAGGGATTAGGACACCACGGGATTTGCATGTGCCAGTGGGGAACAGAGCTGTGATGGGCTGGCTTGAGATCTGGGGTTTGCACCCAGCCAACCTACCCTGGCTCCATCCCCTAGGGAGAAAACACAGCAGAAACAAGGACTTAATCCACATATTCACCATTACTCGGCAAAAAAGAGGAAAAAGCTTTGTGGGAACAAAGATGAGTTAAGGTTTGAGTGTGGCTGACCTCAAACCTGGCTCTGCAAGGTGAAGGTGGGGAAATAAAGGATGGAGAAACAAAGAGGGGGGATGATTTCTGCTACAAACACGATTAAAAAGCTGGAAAAGCTGATCAATGCACAATTCTAGTGGCATAGGGCACTCCAAGACCTTTGGAAGGGTCAGTGTGGTGAGAGGGTGCAGAGTGTTTTGTGGAGGGAAGGAAGCTGCAGGAAGCACAAAGGAGCTGGAGGAGAGGGCAAAGAAATCCCTCTGGGAATTAAGGACAATAGCCAGAAGAATGGGGAGGGGAATGGGATGGGAATTGTGTGTGGAAGAGGCCAGAAGGGGACTAAAGCTGCCATGGGGACAAGGGACAGCTGCTGTCAATTAGCTCGGACATGCTCAGATAGTCCTTGTCCCCTGTTGAGAGAGAGGAGAGATGCCCAGGGAGGCAGCTCCCCTCCCTGGACAGGGCTCATCCCTGTGCATTCAACTCCCCTCCCTGGACAGGGCTCATCCCTGTGCATTCAACCCCCCTCCCTGGACAGGGCCATCCCAGGGATTCAGCTGCCATCCCCAGAAAAAGCCCATTCCCACAGCAAGTGCATTTGTGTGACTTTATTGGAGTGCAACACAAATCGGGAAAGGATGTCAGAAGGTTTGAGGAGAGACACACCCTGGGCTCAATCCCAGTCCCCATCGCCTTCGGGATTGTCATCGCGGGGGGGCTCCTGGAACTGGATGTTGGCCAGCATGTCCCGCATGGCCGCCATCAGCCTGTTCACCCCCTGGTTAAGGTCCTGCCCTGCCCCGGCCTCGTCGTCCCCGTCGTGCCGGATGTCCCCCTGCAAGACAGCAGTGCTGTGGTGGCAGGGACACAGACAACATCGGTGCCAAACCAGCACCAGGCTGCTACCAGCAGCTGCTCCTGGAGTGGGAACCATGTGCCCACAGCCCAGCATGCACCCACCTGCAAGTTAAAATTTGGC